TTCATTGCTTTCCAATAATTTTCATTTGGACTAACTGTAAATCGACTTAGCTTGCTAACCGCACAAGCTATGTCCGGCCTAGTACAGTTCATGACATACATTAAACTGCCTAGTATACTAGCATACTCATTTTGAGCCTTACTTTCACCAAGATTCTTCGAAAGATGTAAATTAACATCTATCGAGTCTTTATCGGTACAATATCTAGATTCTTGCACTTTCCAAGAATCGTCTCAATATAATGGGATTGTGATAGAGCTAATCCTCCATATGTTTTATGGATTTTAACTCCTAAAATAACATCTGCAACCCCCATATCTTTCATATCAAATTTACTTATGAGCATGCGTTTGGTCGCCTTAACAACCTCACTATCGCTGCCCATTATAAGCATGTCGTCTACATATAAGCACAAAATGGCAAAACCATTATGAGTGTTCTTAACATATACACATTTATCACACTCATTGATCTTGAAACCATTCGACAACATGACTTGGTCGAATTTAGCATGCCATTGTTTCGGTGCTTGTTTCAATCCATAGAGTGACTTGATAAGCCGACATACTTTCTTCTCTTGACTTGGAACAATGAACCCTTCGGGTTGTTCCAAATATATTTCTTCTTCCAAATCCCCGTTTAAGAAGGCCGTCTTAACATCCATTTGATGGATTTCAAGCTTATACACCGCTGCTATGGCAATTAGCATCCTTATAGACGTAATTCTAGTAACAGGTGAGTAAGTATCAAAATAATCAAGACCTTCTCGTTGCTTGTATCCTTTTACTACAAGCCTAGCCTTATATTTATCAATAGCACCATCCGCTTTCATTTTCCTCTTGAAAATCCACTTACATTGTAGTGGTTTATTACCGGGAGGAAGGTCAACCAATTCCCATGTATGGTTTGACAATATGGATTCAACTTCACTATTGATAGCTTCTTTCCAGAACGGGGCTTCTGGCGAAGTCACAGCTTCTTTGAATGTCCGAGGCTCATTCTCTAACAGATACGTTAAGAAATCAGGTCCAAAAGACATGGAAGTCCTTTGTCTTTTACTACGTCTAGGTTCATCCTCCATTGGATCACTTCTAGATATAATATCTCGAGGCCTCTTGTTATTATCAATTGGCTCATATACTATGTTATACGGAAATATATTTTCAAAGAACGAAGCGTCCCTTGATTCAATGATCGTATTAACATGTATATCTGGGATCTCTGACTTGTGAACAAGAAAACGATATGCATTGCTATTCTGAGCATATCCAATAAAGACACAGTCAACAGTCTTTGGTCCTATCTTAACCTTTTTAGGCTTAGGAACCGCAACTTTAGCCAAACACCCCCACACTTTGAGATAATTCAAGTTAGACATTCTGCCTTTCCATTTCTCATAGGGAGTTTGTTGTGTCTTTCTGTGGGGTACTCTATTTAAAATAAAATTCGCCGTCAAAACAGCTTCCCCCCACAAATTCTGTGGTAAACTGGAACTATTCAACAATGCATTCATTGTTTCCTTTAAAGACCGATTTTTCCTTTCCGCCACTCCATTAGATTGCGGCGTATAAGGAGGAGTCATTTGGTGAACGATACCAAACTCAGTACAAATTTCCTCAAAAGGAAATTCATATTCACCTCCTTTGTCACTTATTATCATTTTAACTTTCTTATTCAACTGAGTTTCAACTTCGGACTTATAAATTCTAAAAGCATTCACAGCCTCATCTTTGCTACTAAGCAAATAAACATAACAATACCTCGAGCAGTCATCTATAAATGTGATAAAATACTTATTACCACCTCTTGACGGTATTGATTTCATATCGCATATATCTGTGTGTATCAAATCTAAAGGTTCTAAGACTCTATTGTCTACAGAATGAAAAGAAGGCTTAGAAAATTTAGATTCAACACACACTTGGCATTTCTCACTTGAACAATCAAATTTTGGCAACAGTCCCATATTCATTAATTTCTTTATCGACTTATAGTTAACGTGTCCTAATCTAGCATGCCATAAATTAGGAGACTCAAGCACATAAGCAGAAACAACTTTATTCATAACATCATTGGGTACAACAGTCATTACATTCAACTTGAAAAGACCATCACTAAGGTAACCCTTTCCTACATACATCTCATTCTTGGAGAGTACAAACTTATCGGATACAAAAACCAGCTTGAAGCCATTCTTGCTAAGAAGAGATCCGGACACTAAATTCTTGCGTATGTCTTGCACATTATTTAGTGTCACAACTTTCCCAGATGTCATCTTTAGAGCAACCTTTCCAACACCTTCAACCTTAGAGGTTGATGAATTACCCATATAAAGTTTTTCATCACCCCCCACACTTGTGTAGGACGAGAACATCGATCTGTTTGCACGGATATGACGAGTTGCTCCAGTATCAATCCACCACTCCTTGAGGTTTCCCACCATATTACACTCGGATATCATGGCAGTTAGATTGATATCATCAACACCATTGGAAATTTCTTCCACCACATTAGCCTCGAGTTTTCTGTCTTTTCTTGGCTCTCAGCCTTTGGCTCGATGTCCGGACTTGCCACAGTTGAAGCACTTGCCAACAAACTTCTTCGTGCCTTGGGTGAATCCTCTCCCGCACTTGCTAGGCATTTTCCTCTTCTTATTGGGTTTTGATCCTTCTTCAACAACATTGGCTCTTGAGACCGCCAAATTGCTGCCAACTTTCTTCTCGGAATTTCTATTGTCTTCCTCTATCCTCAACCGAACAATCAAGTCTTCAAGTGACAACTCCTTTCTCTTGTGTTTGAGATAATTCTTGAAATCTCTCCAGGATGGTGGCGCTTTTTCAATGAAGGCAGCCACTTGAAATGTCTCACTTAGAGTCATTCCTTCAAGATGAATATCATGCATAATCACCGGAAGCTCTTGAACCCGACTTAAGACGGTCTTTGAATCAACCATCTTGAAGTCCAGAAATTTACCGACAATGAATTTCTTCAATCCGGCATCTTCGATTTTGTATTTCTTGTCCAGACTATCCCATAACTCCTTAGCCGTTTTGAGCGGACTATAGACGTTATAGAGAGTATTGTCCAGACCGTTGAGAACATAGTTGCGACACAGGAAGTCAGAATGATTCCATGCATCCACAGCAGCAAGATTTTCTTTATTTGTCTCTCCAACGTCCAATTTAGGACCATCCTCATTGAGGAATCTAGCCAAGTTCAAGGTCGTGAGATAGAACAACATCTTTTGTTGCCATCTCTTGAAATCCGTACCATTGAACTTTTCTGGCTTTTCTCCGTGATTCGGAATAGGATTAACCGGAGTCGAAGCCGAAGCCATTTCTGAAATATAAACACAGAGCATATTCACGAACAGAATCGGAAATATATGACTATGAACAGAATCGATTGGTCATGAACAGAATTGAGAATTTCAATACGAACAGAAATGAAAAAATTTGTTCACGAATAGAATCGAAAAATTGTAACGAAAAATTGTATGAACAGAATCGTATTCTGAATACGAAAATTTCCGAATATTGTAATAGAATTTCGACACAAGCAGAATTGAACGATGTGATAGAAATTCGGCAAAAACTAAGCGAACATACAAAAAACAAAGGTTCGACTTAAAGAAACGGCAAACCGATATTGGACAGAAAAACTCAACGAACAACACATAAGAATATACGAACAGAACCGAAGAAAATTCGTCTTAAGATTGTTGTTCGGCTAAGTTCGTATATCAGAGATTAAAATCAAACGTTAGGAAAACTAACCTGAAAGCAGTACAACCAAATAAGCAGAATGTTGATCCGAGCTCAACGAATTAACGTCGTGTCCTTAAGACGAATTTGGCCCCTCAATCAGTACCCGAGGATATTGGACAATCGTCTCCCAGGATAGAACGGATCTCGTTCCTCCGAAGCGGTACGTATTCGGAGGACTCCAACGAACGCAATTTTGCAGAACAATCGCACCAAATGACAATGATGAAGTGAATATGCGTAGAGTGCGTCAGGAAAAAATGAATGCCACGAAGTGATATCTATTCCGAACTAAACTGTTCGGTCTTATTCAAGTGGCGAAAAATGAAGAGTTGCGAATTTTTGTGAATAGTAGCGAAGGTTCACTTGAACCGGTTCGGTTCGTGAACAGTCGCGAAGGGCTTTGGTTTTCCGTTCGGGCGAACCGAACCTCACGAACAGACATGTTTATTTGTCCAAAAAAAAATAAAAAAATAAAAAAATTCTAAACAACATGTCTGTTCGGAAAAAATAAAAACCGATAGAGAGTGAACTCGGAACCGAACCGAGCTGGCCAGACGGCGGCGGCGGCGCGTGGACCGACCTAGCTTGACGTAGGTCCTCTCTCTTTCACAAAAGTGGGGTACCCCTTGGGGCCCAAATCCATTTGTGGCGCTCATATTCAACCCATCTCCCATCTCTCTTCTACCCTATGTGACACTTTCACCCACACACTTCTCATTCAATTCTATGATTTTGGTCCAAAATCCCAACATGCCACACCTCATCAAACCCAGCACCAGCATTAGAGTTTAGAGCAAACATGGTTCTTATAATGGGACCCAAACCCAGCAAAATTTCTCTGAAAGAGACGGAGAGGGACGTTCTTTCATCCCCATTTCCAGAGAGAGAGAGAGAGAGAGAGAGAGCCCTGGCCGGGCTCATACAAAGAACCTGACAGGGCCTATGATGGTATTTTCCTCCCATCTCTCCCCCGCTTCCGAGACACACATGTGGGTCAAAGTTTGCAGAGAGAAACACTGAATTATTGTATTATTCACTTTGTTTGATTGCATATTTCGGTGAAAAAGACATCAAATCACAGAAACTCACACGAGAGAGAGAGAGAGAGAGAGAGATGAAAAAGCAGATTCCATTTCAATCTTAGACTAAGGGGCTAATAAATAGAACGTAACGCATGTTATAATGCATTTCTAATAATTAGGTGAATGCGCCTATATATACATCCACTTGGTACCAACTTCTTCAAATCAAGGCATTTCTTGCCATTAGCTCTCTCTTAACAGACAAAAGCAAATCAGCAAACACACTCCCACACAGTCTCACAGAGAGAGAGAGATGGAGCATTACGAGCAACAGGGTTTCTTGGAGGAGCTCTTGGTGGCTCAAAGAATGAGCCACAACCACCCATTTGAGACCATCCCCACGGAGATGAACGAGCTCTTCTCCAATGCCTGGGCTTTTGACCATCACCGCTTTGACGAAAACTCATCTTTTTTCTCTCCCTCTCAAGCCTTCTCTGCCTCTCCAAGCCTTGACCAAGATGACCTCAACAGCTTGTGTTTCCCATTTGGCAACGAGTATGCTTTCCTGCAACAACCCCACATGATTAGTGACTCATCCTATAGCCCGGTCACAGGTCCACAGTTCACCGACTCATCTTACAGCCCGCACGAGATCGATGCTGGTGTTCAAGAAGATCAGTTCCCACTTTATCCTTTGATGGAGGAAGACGAACCAGGTCCTGTCCGGCTTCTGACAGTGGCAGATGATTTTCAGAGCCTATATTTACAACAAGCCACTTGCAAGGTTGAGCCTGTACATCAGGAATCTCCTGAAGCGGCAGCTCCTCCTGTAGTGTTCAACATGGGCGGTTCCTGTCTGGAAGGGAAGAGCAGGGCCAAGAAGCAGGAGGGCCAACCTTCCAAAAATCTGATGGCCGAGAGGAGGAGGAGGAAGCGGTTGAACGATCGCCTCTCAATGCTCCGATCCATCGTTCCCAAGATAAGCAAGGTATGTGATTCAGATTATGCTAATGGATTTTTATGAAGTTACACAGTGACTGAGTGGAGAAAATAATCTTACGAGCTAATAAAAGTATACATATATTTATATGGAAAAACGCTGGATTATGTACCGAAGCCGGTATACAAATTGATTTGCAGACCAATAGGGCAGAGTTTTGTTGGTTGAACATGACCCACTTGTTTGAATGCCAACTTGCAGTTTATTAATCGATTCTGTTAAAAGTTCAACAACTGTTCATGTTGAGTTTTTGCACATGTACATGAGAGACAATGGACTAATTGAGTTTGATATTATGATGTACTATCTTCTGTTTGCTCTGCAGATGGACAGGACATCGATTCTTGGAGATACTATAGACTACGTTAAAGAACTTCTTGGCAAGATCAACAGTTTGCAACAAGATAGCGAACTGGATTTGAAGCAGTTGAATGTGTTGGAGCCTCTCAAGGAGATGAAGCCAAATGAAATGTCGGTCAGAAACTCACCACAGGCATGCCCCGTTTCTTGTGCTTCTTAAGTAACATCAATTTCGTGAAAATTTCAGGACTTCAGTTCGAAGTTAGCCCCAACAAAAATTTCAAGAAATCATGGGTAAAAAATTAATTTTTCTTTTTTTTTTGCCATCGCAGTTCCAAGTGGAGAGAAGAAATGAGGACACAAGGATTGATATTTGCTGTGCGGGGAAGCCAGGATTGTTGCTATCAACCATATCCACCATGGAAGCATTAGGGCTTGAGATCGAGCAGTGCATTATTAGCTGTTTCAATGACTTTGCAATCCAAGCTTCCTGTTCAGAGGTACAGAGACGAAACCCCCCAAAAAAACAGGACAAACAGTTCAAGATCCTCCAAGTTTTACAAAAAAAAAAAAAAGTTAATTTACATTGATTATGTGAATTCAGTTTTTGTGGGTCCAATAATTCTTTTTTTTTATTTATATATGGGGTTTTCCCTTTTATGGGAACAGGGATTGGAGCAGAGAATTCTGGTCAGCCCTGAAGATATGAAGCAAGCTTTGTTCAGGAATGCAGGATATGGAGGGAGGTGTTTGTGATGGCGGAGGATGCTCCTGCTTTTAGTACTTGAAAATGAGTTTTGGGAATGTGAGGCTCTAGTGAGACTGAGGCTAGAACTTTTTTTTTATTGACTAACAGAGCAGTGTAATGTCTGTTTCACGTGGAGATGGTGATACAGAAGATTTTTAACTTCTGATTTCCTGTTAATGGGCATGGTCATGAAGATGGTAATTTTCATAATTGAAGTGCTATAATGACAAAACAGCTGTTTGCATTTATCTGGGGCACAATTCTTTTAATAGATGTTCATATCTCAATAGTAAATATTAACCTCCTACTTTAGCGAGGCGAAATGGCCAAATTTCGAAATCGGCTTACATTTTCCCGATAAAAACGTGCTTAATCAATTGAAAAGCGAGTAAATTTTGACGTGAGGAGAGGAGATGAGAGGAGATTCGTCGAGTTACTAGAGACAACCCATGTGAAATTTTCGATTTTCCATGCCATAAAACAAAAAGGACAGAAAAAGATGTAAGCATGAAGGACTCGGTCCAGAATTGGCGCATGATACATTGAAAGCAATAGATGACTACAAAAAGTGCAAGTCCAAAGTCCTAAAAAGTTTGGCCAAACAAAAAAAAGTCCTAAAAGGAATTTCAACCTCCTTATAATGACATCTTTGGAAGCATCAATCTCATATTAGTACATGCCAAAATGCATTTAACTTCACAAACAAATAGAGACTTGAATGATTCAACTGGCAGGCCCCCTCATTCTTTATATATTCATCACTCTTGTCTTATCTTCCATTGCTTTTTGTATTTTTGTTCTCCTTTTCTGATTGGTTGAATGTCCGCTCCTAATGGGTTGGTCTGATTGGTGACTAAACTAATGGCCAACCAGCTTTTAGAAGCCTAGAGTTTTTGAGAGTCTATTTGATTGATAAGATCTAAGATGTGGCCTCACTTGCAAAAGAAGATTTATGAATATTCATGTTACTTAAAAGCAACCAACATGAGGAAGAAGCTGGGAATTTTCCCCCTCGGCAATTCAGGAAGCTGCCGAGATAACTTTTATTTGAAGAACCATTACTTTTTGCGTCCAGAGCTTATCTAACACAAACTTTTACAAAGTGTGAAAGATTTGAGGAAAAGGGGTACGACTACCTAACACAAACTTTTAAGATTAGAAGGCTGTTTCGTCTTGATAATACGCCAAGCGTTAGTAATTGTGAAGACCCGCTCTTAACAGAATTTTGGCTGCAACTTATTTAATCGGTACGTTGTAAGTTACCAACAATTTTATGAATATATAGACAGTTACTGAATTGCTACAAATTATCAACCATATCCGCGAATTATCAATTTTACTTGTGTGGCTTACTAAATCATTAACTTTTATAGAAAATTACTAACTTTTATTTGAGCTTACTACCAACTTTTTTGCAATTGTTTCGAAATTACCAATTATTCTAATAACTTATTAATATTTATTTGTTAAAGTTACCTACGCGTAAGAGTTGTTAACTCTTACGGAAAGCACCAGCTTAGGGCAAAAGGACACTACAAGTGCCATAAGTTGTGTACAGAGGACACTTTGGTGCCATAACTTTTTTTCGGAACACTTTGGTGCCAAGTCGGAGGAAAAGAGATCACTTAAGTACCAATTTGGCCGGAAATCCGACGTGGCATTTTTTATTAATTTTTGACGCCGACGTGGCTCGCCGGAGGATGAGTCAGCGTGTATAGTCAGCATTTTTTTATTTTAAATAATTTTTTTCCTTTTTTTTTCCTCTTCTTTCCTTTTTCCTTTCTTTTCTTTTTTTTCTTTTCTCCCCTCGCCGGCCGGTTGCCGGTGGCCGGCCGGCCACCGGCGAAGCCCAGGAAGGACTGGGCGAGGGCGGTCTTGCCCATGGCCAGCGAGGGGTGGCCTCACCAGATCTGGGCAAGGCGACCCTCGCCGGCGACAGGCGAGGCCGCCCTCGCCGGCCATGGGCGAGGGCGGCCTCGCCAGACTGGGCGAGGCGACCTCGCCGGCGACCGGGCGAGGCCGCCCTCGCCCATGGCCGGCGAGGGGCGGCCTCGCCTGTCGCGCCGAGGGTCACCTCGCCTGTCGCCGGCGAGGGTCGCCTCGCCCGGATCTCGGTGAGGCCGCCCCTCGCCGGCCATGGGCAAGGCCGCCCTTGCCTAGCCCTTCCCGGGCTTCGCCGGTGGCCGGGCAGGCTATTGGCAACCGGCCGGCGAGGGGAGAAAAGAAAAAAAAAAGAAAAGAAAGGAAAAAGGAAAGAAGAGGAAAAAAAAAGGAAAAAATTTATTTAAAATAAAAAATGCTGACTGTACACGCTGGAAAAAAATTATTTAAAATAAAAAATGCTAACTGTACACGCTGACTCATCCTCCAGCGAGCTACGTCGGCGTAAAAAATTAATAAAAAATGCCACGTCGGATTTCCGGCCAAATTGGCACTTAAGTGATCTCTTTTCCTTCGACTTGGCATCAAAGTGTTCCGAAAAAAAGTTATGGCACCAAAGTGTCATCCGTACACAACTTATGGCACTTGTAGTGTCCTTTTGCCACCGGCTTAGATTTGGGTGATTTACCAACTTCTTACAAGTTAATTCCCAACTAGTTTTAGCTTTACTAACTCTTATTTGAGTGAGTTACCAATATCTATTTGGTTGTTCAAAATATCAACGGTTTTAATAATTTACCACTATATATTTGGGGAGCTTAAATTACCAACGCTTACAAGAAATTACCAACTCTTATTTGAGTACTTTTTAGCAATGTTTATTTGATTTTTTGAAATTATTAACTGTGTTTCGGTAGTGTTTTGTGTGTGTGTGTGTGTGTGTTCCGGTAGTTTGACAACAATTACTTATTAAAGTTTCCAAGATGTTAAATTTACAAACTCTAATAGGAAAAGTATTAGCTTTTATTTGAGCACTGCTGAATTGATTGTTTCAAAATTGTCATATGTTTCAATAATTTACCACCATTAGCATATCAACTTAAGTTACTAACTCATCTAGGAAATTTCAAATGTTATTTGAGTCTATTACCGAGGTTGATTAGACTCTTCGGAAATTACCAATCGCTCCTATAGTTTACGAACGTTTATATGTTGAAATTATCAACAAGTTAAAGTTATTAACCCTACGTAATTATCAACTATTTTCAAAACTACCAACTACTCCAGTGCGATATTTGAATTAGTTACCAACGTCTATAGAATGTTTTAAAACCACCACCAAGTCTAATAAACCGGCAACTTTTTTTGTTTTTGCTAAAATAACAAACCGGCAACTTACCAACTGGAAAAAGGTTAATTACTTATATCCAAAATTATCGACTCTTATGTAAATTTGTTATCAACTTTTATTGAATTTTTTCTGAAATACCAACTATTTCAATAATTCACCTACACTAGTTTGGAGAGCTTCCCAACACTTTAAACTTACTACTTTGGGTTAATACTATGAAAAACCTCAAATTTGTGCACTTGTGACAAATTTACTCCAAACTAATATTTTGACTACCAAAAATCCCAAACCGGTACACCTATGACAATTTTTACCCTCCGTTAGTTTCCGTTAAATTTTACTGACAAATTTCTAAGTTGGATGATACGTGACGGGTATACCAATTTAGGATTAATTTTACCCTCCGTTTGTCATGAGGGTACTGATTTGCGATTTTTCGTGATATTAATCCAATTTAACAAAAGGTAAATCTATTACAAGTATACCAATTTCGGGTTTTTTGTGGTCAAAAAATTAATTTTTGATAAATTTATCATATGTGTACCAATTTGGGATTTTTCGTAGTATTAACCCTACTACTTTCATGCGAAATTACCAACTCTTTTCAAAATTATTGATGTATCCCGATAATTTACCAACATCCATTTCCGGAACTTAAGTTACCAACTCTTACATGAAAATATCAACTCTTGTTTGAGTCACTTGCCAACTTTTATTTGATTGTTTCAAAATTACCAACTATTTTAGTAAGTTTTTCTTTTTGGTCAAAACTATTTTAGTCAGTTACTTACATTTGTTTGGGGAGCTTATGAACGTGTTGCAGTCAAACAAACATTAATATATAGACTAAAATAAGAGTAGGTTAATTTTTTTTATAAGAGCTAGTAACTTTAACATGCTGATAACATTCGCAAGTAAATGTCGGCATATTATTAGAACAGATGACTTCAAAACTATTAAATAAACATTGGTAAGTCCAATCAAATAAAAGTTAGTAAAGTTACAACTAGATAGTATTTGAGTTAGTAAATCGCTCAAATTATATTGATTATTTGCTTTAAGAGTTAGTAACATTAGTATGATGGTAACCTCGGCAAATTTATACTTGTACGTTCTCGGAACAATTGGTAATTTTAGAAAATTCAATAAAAGTTGGTAAATTGATTCAAATAAGAGTTGGCAATTCACTATGAAATTAGTGACTTTAATACGTTGGTAAGCTACGCAAGTAAATAATGGTAAACTTATAGAAATAGTTGATGATTTAGAAAAATCAGATGTGTCGGCACTCCTATAAAACTATTCGTATCTTATTAATAGGTTACACTTTGAAAAACTATGGGTACTTCCTTAGAATCGTTGGTAACTTAATAGCATGTTACAAGCTAAATAATTAGCCAGTCAAAATTTAGGTATTGATTGGGTTGGAAATGCCGTTTATAGAATTACTAGCACAGAACGATGTTTTGTATTTTCACGCATGGAACTCTAAGAATTCGAGAGGAAACGAAGTCTAAAAGTTCAATGATTGCATATCTAACTTGGTAGTCCCTGAATTTCTGCTAAATGTTTAAAGAGGTCTCTCAAAAAAAAAAAACTCAATGGCCAATCGAATCTTTTAACGATGTCCTTCACACACACACACAAAAATAAATATATATATATATATATATATATACTTAGCCATGTGGGCTATTTGTCCATTGAATAGACATAAACCAAGCCCAATTTTCGACTAACTTGCTTGAACTGAGGCCCGGTTCCTAAATGCAAATACATCTTGATGAATAAGAGGGGAAAGAATTAAAGAAAAGAGAGATAGATCTTGTTAATTAGTATTTCTTTTCACATTTTCTCTCCAAATAAAATATCCAAAATTGCTCGAATCATCAAAACAAATCCCTGGTGGGTGCACTAGCAATCCTCTGGACTTTACATTTGTCCGTATGATCATAGTGAACCTCACTAAGGTAGGTAAAGTGCAAATTGAAGAAATATAACACTCCTCATGAACCA